GGTCAGAAGCTTGGTCATTGTCAAGGAGATGGAATTCACCATCAGGAGCAGTTGTAGTTGGTTGTTGATTGTGTCCACTGTCTTTGAATTTCTGACCTACCAAATGTCAAATAATTAAAGGAAGGTCGAAGATCTGCATTCCAAACTTTATGGTATAAACTAATCTCCTACATGTTTGCAAATAATATGTTACTTGAGATCAGTGCTAGTGCTAGAAATGAATATAAGTTTGGCACGGGTATATTTACTTTTTTTTATAAGTTTCTTCATATAATCCCACACATATCTAATATGTGATGGTAGTGGATGCTTTAGGAAAATGAAGAAACCAAACAACTATTATCATAGTTTATTATAAAATTAAGCATTAGAAATTTCCATGTCCTAATCCAACAAATAGGAGGGAGACAAGACTGTTACGTTCTAAGTAAGAGAAGATTCATAGTATGGAGATTTAAGGTCGGTTTACAGGAGTATTAAGATCCCCCAGTTACAGACTTCAGGTCCCCATATACATGTTCTTAACTCGAGAGATCAGTCTCCTCCATGTTCCCGTGAACTCGACTCGGTGAAATGTATCCATCAGCAACTTGAGATCACTTACAACAAATCTGGACCCTTCGTACATTATTGACAGCTCAACCTAATGCAGAACAACAGAAATATAAGACAATAGAAACCAAATAATGGCAATGCAAAACATGAGACAACCAATTAAATTAGTTGAACCACCTGACTTATCTTGATATTGCAAAATTCAATCAGTTTCGGAGGCCTAGGCTTTTTCTTCAATGGGTTGACCAGCTTTAGTAGATCATGTGTCTTCAAGTAGGTCTGTTTTCCAAGATTGAGCTTGCATGAGAAGTTCAGTAGCTATGGACTCTGCAACAGCGTCTTCCATTCTATCGAAAGAAGATGTTCTCCTCATGTGGGTTCCAGGTTTTTGGTCTGGCAATTTTGATGCTTGCAAGTGGGTTCCAGAAAGTGCTTCTGCATTAGAAATATAAAGATCCAAAGCCTCTATAGAACCTAGTGGCTTAAACAAATCAATAAGTGTCAGCGTTAATACAAGTTACCAAAACATAAGGATGCTTACATTGTTAGAATCAGTTGGCAGATCAGTAATGGACGGTCTTGATTTGTGTGATCCCTCAGATTCTAGAGTATGCAGTAACAAACAGAAAGGTTGTTGATGTACCATAAAGTTGGCTAAAGATCTACTGAAACATTCTAGAGTATGCCCTTTTCTCCTGGTCTCGTCTATCGGCAACCTGCAACAGTGTTTCAAACTCAATTACCTTCATGGGTGAAATCAATTGGAAGTGTGAGGTGGAAAGTATTAAATATTTATTCAGAGAAAGAATAGATTGATGTCAACCTTCTTCCTTGCAGCTGCAAGCTCTTTCTTTATTCCACCTGAGTAGAAGAAAACATGATATAAGATGAAGGTCATCCCGAATCTACTCAAAAGTATATAATTGAAGGACATTGATGAAGTAGAAGTAAGAATTATAGCAGAAACTAATTAAGTGATATAACATCAAGTTTCATACTTAGGTTACAATCGTATGCAACTTTACCAGGTGACACAACATGGCACTCCATTAATCAAAAATGAAAACTTAGAAAGTCATTCTAAACCTCAAAATAATAAAATAGAGGAAGAAAATGGAAGAGGGAAGGAGGGAGCATGGTAGGAGTTTCACAGCTGTTTCACTTGAGACAATATTTTACAGACCATCATTAGGCTCTAATTTCGATGCCTTTTTAAAGCTCTCGACTGCAACATCAATTTCATTTAGTGTCATGTGTGCCTGACATCAGTTAAATACAAAAGCAATTGAAGTAAAAAAAATCCCGGATAAAAGTAAAACTAGTCATTTAATAGTTTAAACAACATGCATTCCAGTTAAAACAAGAGCATGCAGTTTATTTTGTTATAAACACACAAGGTTTTTCCCTTAAATCAATTAGCAAAATAAGAAACGACAATATTAGTTATTCTTGAAAAAGCACCGATAGTAGTCAGTAAAAAAAGCAAAGGTACAAACTAAATTAGAAATATGACCAGCAAAAAGAAATGGAAAGAGAACACCAGGCAAAGTACGTGGTGCCAAGGAAGCAATAAACATGGTTTTGAATGTGTACAAATACTTAGCACTGACCTGGCCTTGGCAAAAGAAAGCTTTCACATTTTCTTCTCCATCACGAATTGCAAAGTCAGTATCCAACAATGCTCCTTTTAGATCACCCAGTTTCAACTTACAATCCTAAAGCAAACAACACAGACAACAGTCATATGAAAAGAACAAACATCAATAACCGGAAAAAGAATATAAGTGATTACAGATACTAACATAGAGGAACTCCCTATCATAACATGCTTTACTCAATTAATGAAGAACTAAAAATAAGAGAAGATTGGAATCTTGCCATGCTAGATGCCTAAACCTTTGACTTATTGATCTAATATTTTCAAGGAAATAAAAAATCTTATAGAACTATTGTAAATATCTGAGACTTGGTCTTCAAAGATGAGCTCTTCTCTGTGTGATGACAAATTAGAAAGGAAGCAAAAGGTCAGCAGAATAACTAGAGGATTAATGGCAATAAAATCATGACCATCAAGCAACTAAATTATGCACCTTGATAAATGGCCTCCAGGTCCCAGCATCCAATGAGCAAAGCCTTCCATATTCCTAAGAGCAATCTTATAGTCTTGTTTCTGTAAGAGGGAACAACTAGGAATATCTACTAACACTGTAGCAGTAAATCAAATTCCAAAGAAAAGTACTAAAGCTATCGATACTCGGCAGTCTAATGGTAGAAAATGTGCCATCATTATACAACCATAACATAGAGATGTGTAATATACAAAAAGGGGAAATGAAGCAAATTATATGAAACCTCGTATTGCTCATTTCCAAAAGCTTTGATAGAGTCAACTGCCATCATCCACCAAGTAATGTCATTCATTTTTTTGTCAAGGTCAGCTGGCCAGTCGGGATAAATATCACCATCCTTAAAAAAAATAGATACTCCGTCATCTGCCCCCTCAGGAATTTCTCCACAATCTTCAATTATAACATCTTGAGTGGGGTAATCACCATCCTCAGTAGCAACATGCTCGATAGATCGAACAACACCCATTCCATTTAAAACCTTCCCAAAAACCACATGTTTCCCATCGAGATGAGATGTTCAAGTAGTTGTAATGAAGAATTGAGACCCATTGGTGTTAGGCCCCATATTAGCCATGGATAACATTCCTTTTCTTTCATGTTTTAACTCAAAGTTTTCATCTTCAAATTTCAGGCCATAAATGGATTCTCCCCCTGTTTCGTCACCAGCTGAAATATCCCCACCTTGTATCATAAAACATCGGATAATGCGATGAAAGCGCACACCCTATAAATAATGCGAGATGTGAAATCAAGAAAGCAAAGAAGTAATTAGGGTTTTGGCCGCTGAAGCTGAATGCCAAAGCAAAATAAAAAAACGCATGCGTGCGTGAATGGCGAACGAGGAAGGGTTTAATTCGTGTGAGATCACTAGAAACACACATTGTTTCTCCCGTTGCAACAGAGAAAGAGTTTAACATACAAATTCGTAAAACTAGAAACTCAAATTGAATGGTGGAATAGAGAACGAGGAATACCTGTGGAAACCCTTGAATTTTGACTGATCCCTTCGTTTGCGTTGTAATCAAAGATAAAATTATGGGGGGAAATTAAAAGACGAATTTTAGAAGCGGGAAAGCATGCGTACGTGATGAAAATTATGGAGAAATTAAAAGACGACTTTGCGAGATGACACACAATGAAAGTGTACTCCGTGTGTTTGCTAAATTTTTTGGATTATGACTATTAAATATAACACACATTATTGTAAGTCATAAATCGTTCAGATTTTAAAAAACATGACATTTTTTATGACACACATGTTTTGCAAGTCATAAATTAGCGTGTGTCATCGTTCATGTGTTATTAAATGTATATTTTCTTGTAGTGATAATTGATTTAATTTTGATTTGGATCGATTTATTCTAAGTTTATATTTAGTTTGAATCTATGGTAGGTTGGATTGGGTCAATATCATATTGATTGATTTTAATTGGGTTAATATCATATTGATTGATTAGTTTTTGGATTACTCGATTTTCAATTCAAGTGAATTTTTGGATCTTCGGGTCAACACGAGTGAAGATGGGCATGAATCCAGTCGAATATATAGAATTTTTTATATAAATCCTTATAAAAATGTATTTTTTTTATTATTCAAACTGATCGTTTAGGTTGAATTTCATTAGAATTCAATTATCAATTGGAGACCAAATCTAGGGGCTTTGAAGAATAGTGTGGATGGTGGCCTACACTCTGGGACTGGTATGGCTTGGGTTGGTCAGGTGATGAAGCTTCAGCTATTACATATGGTGTGCAACTCGTTGCTGATTTGCATTACCACTCCGTTGTGGTAGAGAGTGATGCTTCTAATCTCTGTTTCGCTATTTCTTCTTCTTCGGTGTGGCGCGGCCAAACTCGTCACAACATTGTCTACCTTCCTTTGCTATTTCTTTGGATGCTCCATTGTTTTTTGAATATGAACCTCCTGATTGCACGCTAGTACTTATAAAAAATTTATAAGCTATTTTTTTTAATATATATATATATATATATGTGTGTGTGTGTGTGTGTTATTTATTTTAATATGACTAAAAAAATCTAAAAAATTCCAAACAAAAAATGTTGAAGCAATTTAACCTTAGCTTCATATAATCTCTTTTGATCATCCAGTCATCATTTATTCATTTCCCTACAATCACTCAAGAAATTACTAATTTTAGATAATTATTTGTTTCCACTAGAAATTGCACGTTAAACCAATTATAACGAGAGGAACGAGTCTCCCTCTACAATCCCTTCAAAGATATAAAAAAAAAGTATTTCTTTATAAATTCTTTGTTTTTACTTTTTAAGAAGCCTTAGTTAACCCAACAAGAATTATAAAAGGAGAGAAAATGGAAAAAGCATGGCTGATGGCCCTGGTTTTAATGTCAATCAGCATTTCGTCCCTTATCAGCTTTGCCCTTGCCGCTGAAAAGTTCAACGTAGTGGGCAAAGTCTACTGTGACACTTGTCGAGTGGAGTTCGAAACCAAACTCAGTGAACCCATTCCAGGTTTGTTGAACCCCACATCTTCCATTAAATCTCATCAAAGATGGCCTACTACTAAGCGTATGCTTGGGTGTATTTGCAGGTGCGACGGTGAAGTTGGAATGCAGGAAGGTAAGGGACGAAGCCATAACATTCAGTCGAGGGGCAGTTACTAATGCGACGGGTGGATACAGCATCCCGGTGAAGGGAGACCACGAAGCCGAGATTTGCAAGGTTAGCGTGGAGAAGAGTCCTCGCCCATATTGCAATGAAAAGATGGAATCATGGGAGAAATCTCAGGTGGAGCTCACCACCCAAGATGGCCTAGCTGCCCCTATTAGAACTGCTAACAATCTTGGCTTCAAGAAGAAGGAACCTCTTCCTGGTTGCCCTCAAGTTCTTAAAGAGATGGGCTTTCCTCTAACTCCCTGGGCATTTTAAATGTTTGCATTCATTTACCAGCTAAACTTGATACTTCGTTGTTTTCAATGTTTGAGCACATCGTCGTAACATAATATCTAATAACAGCCTGCCTCCCTGCATATCCTCTCATTTCATCTTGTAAATCTAATCAAGTGCCACTTTAATAAAATTCAATACATATTTCTCGCATGTTTTATAAGTTTTACAAGAAATTGTATACAAGCTTTAAGAATAAAATTCAAGAAAATTTCAAAAGTGGAGACAACGGGATTCAAGCCCTAGACCCTTAAGAAAGGAATCAAGCACCTAGCCACTAAGTTAAGCATATTAATTATATTTAACGTATTTAATCTTATATACTCTTATATATTGTATCAAAAACATTTTTAATCAAATTAAACTCAATCTACAAGTGAACATAAAATAGGAAAAGAAAAGCTTTTGTATTCAAGAAAGAAAAATGTTGCACGACCTCTTTAAGAGTTTAAGTGGTGCAATGAATTTCACAACGAAACAAATAGATAGTTTAACATGCTTCATATATTTATATGAAGCATAATGCCTCAGATCTCCACCCAGGGGAGTCGAGGATGAAAGAGAAAATAGTAGAGAAGCTGCCGGTAAATACGAAAAATGAAGGTGGAAGGAAAGGGAAAAGAGAGAAGGTGGAGGTGGGAAAAGGGAAGAAAAAGAGTGGAAACGGGTACTTTAATAAAGACTCGGAAACAAAATTAACAGGTAATAGTAGCCAGATAGATCCTCTGAATCCTGGTCTTCATAAGAGATAAAATAACAGTGTGGAGAAGAATGCAGCCCTGACCGGAACACAAATCAAAGAACTCTGGCACAAAAAAATCAAAATATCTTGTTCACAGCGATGAACAAGGAACCAGAAAAACCAACATATGCAGCAAGTAATGAAATTCATAACTGGACAGCCTCTATGCATGGATTATCAAAATAACAAGAACTCAGGCAACAGATAAAAAAGATTTTTGATGCTGACTTAACCAAATCTTACAATGCAGATCAAAGGGCAGAATCATATATGTCAATCATTAGATAAACTAAGCAAGCATCCATGCCTGTCTGAAATACAAGCACCTTTTATAAGGTGAGTTGTAATACATGAAAGGTAAAAATATGTTTAAAGATAGCACAATAGTATGATATTGAGAAAATCTGCATGGCTGATCCAAATAACTGTCGGGGTAACAATCACTTTCCACTGCAGAATGAAAAAAATAAAATAATTAAAATCTGAGTGTTAAAGAATGTAAGCAAGCTAGTTTATTTAGGTTCACTTACCTATTCATCATAAGGGTAATGTTGTCTCCTTTAAGAAGAATCCTTCCTGAAATTATAAACAAACATATAAGACAACATGCAAACAACGAGAGGAACGGTAAGATTAAAAGAGTAAGCCAATTCACCTAATGTCTTTCTGCTCTTTTTCTTGATGTTAACTTCTTCAGCATCATCCAGCACCAAATTCATGTACTCATCAAAACCCTATAAAGTGCAGAACTGGGCAAATAAGAAAATGGATATGATCATCAATAAGTCACAAAGCATATAAGAGCTTTAATACTTTTGTCAGTCAAAACAATTCGACCAAATTTGGCAGTCATATCAATATACACTATTGTATGCGTGTATACATAGAATTTAAGACCTTTACTTCACCTGAAGCCTAGCTATATGGGACATTTCAGAAACATAGGACTTAATGCACCCAGATACAAAATTAAAGTGGGATTCCAGGCCAAAACCTTTTTTGGGGAAATTAAAATTCTTCAAATCTTCAGCATATCAAGTAGCTTCAAAATGTTTATTTAAAGAAAATTGAATATCAAACTTACAATGATTCGGCCTTCAATCCTCAAATCTTTCTGCTCAAAAAGCCAAATCTGAATGCGAGCTTTCTGAATATTTCCAATTCAAAAAAGATAGATAAAAAGTCGAACAATTAGTTAACAAACAATCATACCCATAAAAGAGAATGAAGCGAATAGAGCGTGAAGAATAGACTTACACTTTGAAGAAACCTGAAGATCAGGTTCTGTTGCCACAGAATAACCCGGAAAGAAAAGAAAGAAATAAGCAAATAAGAAATCACCAAATAAGGAGAGATTCAGGAAAAAAAAGAAAGAAAGATGTACGCACAATGGGTTGAGTCATAATTCTCTGGACTTTGGTGCTCGCCATGGCTGCAAAATAAAAACTCGAACGCCTTGTTCCTCTTAGTCGAAAGGTTTTGAGTTGTTGAAATGAGCTCTTAAACCCTAGTTTCAAAGAGAATAGCTCGTATTAAATTGGGAATAAAAAACCACCCGAACCCCACGCCTTTGATATCCTTTCCCTCTTTTTTTGGGCTTAATGCTGCTTTTTGACTTGAAGTTTAGCTTAATTTTCAATTTAGTCCCTATATGGTACCCTTTGTCCTTTAAAGAAAGTCATGTCACTCAATCAAAATTTGTTATATGTAATGAAAGTTAAAAGAAGCTAAAAGATAAAAAAAATTAAAAAAAATATCTAATTTTTAAATTTTTTTCCTAAAATATTAGTAATTATGTTTAACTATTTTTAAGGAAAACTATTGAGATTGTCAGTTTTTTTTACAAATATACACATTTGATCATCAAATTTTAAAAAGTGATATTTTGGTCATTTATGCTATCATTTTATAATTTCAGTTTATAATATTTTGATCACTAAAAAATTAAATATTGTTATTTGACGATATAACAAGTTATTAAAAAAGTTTATTTTTTAATTTAATTATTAAATTTTAAATAAAACATGATCTCTACATTTTAGAAAAAAATATTAATTTTATATTAGACTTTAAATAAAATATAAATTTAATTCATGAATTCGATCAGAATTCTCGTTAGAATTCACTCACTGCTAATAGTATTTTGCTTTGTTTCATCTTTGGATATATTTCCGGATAGTGTAATAGTATTTTCCCTTCTTTCTTGTGCAGGAAAATATTAATTGTAGGCTTAGATAAGGATACAACTCTAGGTGATCCGTGTTTTCTTTCTTTCACTTTCTGTGAGGCTTCTATTCGTTTTCCTTTGATAGGTGTTCTCTAATTATTGAACTTTATTGTTTCTCGAGGTTTTGAGTTTATCGTGTTTGACAGTGACGAAGTGATTGGCAATATACTGGCCAACGGAAACATGATAGATACATACGGAGGATACATGGGTGAGTGCACAATCTGATGTAAACAAATATCTGCATATTCTTTGCAGAGAAAACCGTGCCAAGTGACATGTCAAACTCTTTGAACGAAATTAACGATTACTGTTATTCTTGATTTGAATGTCATCATGCACTTATGTTGGTTTCAACTTCGAAAAAGTTCAATTTGGCGCAGATTGATTGTTTCTATTATGTAGTTTCTTCTCAAGGCATATTGTCCATATAGTTCACTTGAAAATTGAACTTATATCGACTTACGTCTTTGTTGTAGGTTGAATTCAAGAAGGTTGTGTTGGAAACAATTGATCGTTGCAAAACGAAGTATTAGAATTGATCAAAAATATTTAAATAGAGTGATAATTTTGTCGTGGTATTAACAATCATCTTACAAGTGGATTCGTCCCGATAAGTGTAGTCGCTATAATGGAAGAATGACCCGCGAGGTTTGTACGACTCTCCAACTTTTGTACACTGTAATACCATAATTTTTTCCGAGTATTTCAAATTGAAATGAGGGGGATCGAGGACTATTTTCAATTGTTCATGCATTGATATCAAGATAATTCAAGGAGAATTGGCGACGTCAGTGAAAGATTAAAAGCCTTTTCTCAAGTGGTTAATTGTAAGCCTTTGCTTAATTGGGTTTGAGACCACATATTCATTTTGAAATTAAGTCATTTACCAGACACCAAAGTACCTAAATATAGTCCAAATTGGATATCCAAAGCCCAAATGTCCAATTTAAAATGACCATTTACACAATCAATTTACATTAAACAATCCATTAACCCACACAAAAACAAAGTCATTTGTTAGTTCCTCTCATTTACGTAACCCTAATGCAATAGACCAAAACATTACAAGTCTTAACCATATACATTGTTAACCTATTAACCCAAATAACCGAACACAAATCATTGGCCCAATTGATTAGGATTATTAGAAACCCTAATCAACGAAAAAGCTCCCGCCGCCTCTGCCCCCTCACGCAGCTGCTTCTAGAAGCTCATGTTAACAACCAAATTACCATATCTTCCACGTCATCAAATTTGTGGTCCCATCGTTTCCAACATACCATTCAACGTTTTTAGAACCTTCTAGAATCCTCACAGCTAAATAGGATATGCGTGCCCAACAAGCTCTCTTGTCCTCATAACAACCATGCAAAATAGAATATCGGAAAGGATAAACTACGCCAATGATCACTCATATTTGGGGTAGTTTTCGTTTTCATCACTGATGTTTAAAAAGTTATAAATCGGTTACTAACGTTATCGTTTGTTACAAAATGGTCATTAGACGTTAACAACTGTTAGTAGACGTAACGGAAATCGCAGCTGTATCGTTATCTGCTGAGTTGGATTGTTGACTGCCACAGTAGAACCAGTTTGACCGACTCTTCTTCTTCTACAACCCCACCCCATCTTCTTCCTCAACCCAACCAAATTGTTTCTTTTCATCTCCCAATATTTCCCCAAAAAAATCCCATTTTGACCGTAATTTCCTCTCTTTCGCGTCATTCACTTGAAAATTTTGATTGCAGGTTGACCCTCCCACATTTTACATACATATCCAGCATGGCAGTTTCTACCATGATATCCATCTCCATCCCCTTCATCTTCAAGCCATAAACATGAACCCATCTACCCATCACCACATCTCTAGACTATGCACAAGCTAACAGTAAAGAACAAAGTGTTATATAATTCAATTTAAATCCACAAAAAAACATCTGAATTAAAAGCAGAAATCCCTCCTTGCTAAATTCATTCCCTACATAACCAACCATCATTGTGGGGAAGCAAGATGACAGCCTGGAATATGCAGAGATGGTTTAGAGATGTTACTCTTAATGTGAGAATGAGGATTATTGTGGGGAAGCGAGATGACATCCTGGAATAGAAGAAGCCATTTAACGACTTCTTTGAAGTAAT